GTTGAATCATACTTTCCCAACGTATTTGTTGAGATATATGGCATTCAACGATCGAAAACGTTATCAACGTCTGTTCCTATATGGCTGATACTGCCCAATAAATCCATATCAACAAGTCATTGAAAATGACACAGTCCCCGTTAAATTTTTGAAAGTTCTCTTTGTGCTCGTCATATTAAAGCGGAGGGGTTGTCGCGAGCGTGTCCTTGAAACTCGAGTTCCAAGTGGCGTATACAACAGATTGTTTATTTACATCAAAACACGTGTTTCATGTAGTAGTAATATGGCCAAAAATAAAAACAGCCGTTATTCGGCCATCTTTGATCTGATTATTAAACACACTGATATGTATGATGTATGTGCCAAATACGAATGAAAATGGTACATAAATTGTGGAAATATAGTAGTAAGGCCAAAAAGTCAGATGGCTGTCAATCAGCCATTCCTGACCAGATTTTGAAATAAATTGTCATGGACATGCATCCTAACATGTATAAAGTACATGTATGTGCTAAATTTGAATGAAAACTGGCAGAGTACGTCCAAGATACAGCATAAAAAACAAGACGCCTGTCAGTCGACCATCTTTGATCCAATTGCGAAATAAATCGTTATGGACATGCATCCTAACATGTATAATCTATGTACCAAGTTTGAATGACAACTGACAAAGCATGTCCAAAATACAACATTTTCAAAAAACAAGATGGCTGCCAGTCGGCGATTTTGAATCGAATCACTGAACCACTGCATGTGCATATGTCCCACATAAGGTACTAGGCACATGCAAAGAATGAACGGAATCGGTCCACAGGATTCTGAAATATGACTCTGGACAGACTGACGGACGGACGGACACACGGACGGTCGGACGGACAGACTCAGGAACTCACGGACGGTCGGGGAGATGTATCCTAATATGTATGATCTATGTACTAAAGTTGAATGAAAACTGACAAAGCATGTTCAAAATACAACATTTTCAAAAAACAAGATGGCTGCCGGTCGGCCTTCTTTGATATAATTGTGAAATAAATCGTCATGGACATGTATCCTGACAGGTATAATTTATGTACCAAGTTTGAATGAAAACTGACAAAGCATGTCCAAAATACAACATTTTCAAAAAACAAGATGGCTGCCAGTCGGCCATTTTGAATCAAATCGCTAAACCACTGCATGTGCATATGTCCCACATAAAGTACTAGGCACATGCAAAGAATGAACGGAATTGATCCAAGGGATTCTGAGATATGACTCCGGACGGACGCACGGACGCACAGACGCGCGGACGGAGACGGAATTATAAGTCCCCGTTTTCGGACTTCGTCCGAACGGGGACTAATAATTGCATTTCATAGACCGTCGGTCCAGGTCTGCCTGCTTGAAACTGTATACAAACCGAAGATTATTTACCTGTCCGATATATTTTATATCCATGTTTGAGAAACGTTTTGGGTAATTTGTTAAAACTGGATCCAAGATGGCTCCACGCACTAATTTGACTCATTAAGCCAAAATCCAAGAACTTGTTCAGGTAGTCTGCTACCATTAAACACATATTCAGAAATCTTTGACATCCAGCAAGTGGAGTTGGTTTACTGTAATATTCAAAACTCTGGAATTAAAATGGAGGGTCACTAAACTTAGTTTTCCACTAAACCTCGAACATGCATGTTTTGAGTAGTTTACAATTGGTTTCTAAGGCAGAAACATTCCATCAAATCTCAAAAATTTGTCCGATGACCTATGCTAAAGGGCTACTTATGGCTGTGACGATAAATTTGAGAATTTTTATTACTAGGACAAGTTATCCATGGAATAATGTGTTTACAAGCATTCCTATGGAAAATGATCCAAAGTGGCAGCTTTTTAGATTATTTTGCATATGTCTTCTTGGAAACAGATCCTTCTATCTCCGAGAAACTTAATATAAATGATGTGGATATATGTGAACCATCACACAACAATGTTAAATGACTTATTGTGATAAATTTTATCCATGTTTTAATGGTATCTAACTATGTTAAAATATTCATTTTTCAACGTACTCGCTGTGAAAGGAAGCTTTGCGTTCAGTTAATACTTGGTAGATTAGAATCCCCAATAAGAATATTTGTAAAATTACGGAAAACGGTATAAAGATTATTCTTACACTAATCGCTAAACTCATTTGGTGGCCTATAAAATATAATCAATACAATTTGTTCTACTTTAATTGACAAAAGTTCACAAACAATTACTTCACTGTGCACTGTAGCCGAGAATTCGAAATCTACTCCCCGTTTTGAATTCAAGGAGCTACCGTTAGCCAATAACAACACCACCTCTAAAACTTTCTCTATCTCTCCTAAGATGAATCTCATATTCAGAATAATCACTACGATACAGACTTTGCAACATTGTGAAAACGATTTTTACATAATTACCCATAATTACCGATTACACAAGAATATTACAGAAAGTATTCTCTATAATTTTGCCTTTTATTTGTCTTGAATTGTGACTGAAAAAGCTCAGGATTCAACAACTCAGTTATGAACAATAACTTTAATAAATATAAGTTTACTTGATGAAAATAATGTT